CCATATTAACAGTGCGGATAACACCGTTCCATTCTAAATGGGAATGACATGTATTAATAATGTTTTAATTAAAGATTCTGAACTTTAATTAAATTCATTATGAACATTGCTTTTTGATTATTATCCTTAAACATTATCATCTCGTATATAACACTTATATACAATGTTTAAGGTTACATAAATAATCATAAAATTTTTATTGATATTCATAAAATATTCATAAATATATGCACATAAAATAATGAATAAATTCTTTTATTAAATAAATAATAAATATCTTATTACATCTTATGCTTCTAGGACACCATTCCCAACATAAGGATCGTCTTCAAAATTAAATGTTAATCGATTAAATTCATCAATCCATTCTTGGCTTGCCGGTAAAATTGTATCCTATAGATGTTGATCGGCCCGATCCCAATCCTTAATGCAAACCAATGCTTCAACAATATCCCTTTGCAATGCATTCCGGCGTTCCTTAAGTATTATTCTTGTCGTACTGAAGGCTTGTTCGGATGAAACAGTGGAGACTGGGATTGAAAATATATCCATTGCCAATCGAGTTAGGATTGACCAAGTTAATGCCCGTGCCCTCCACCATTGAACTAAGTCAAACGATTCTGCCGCACTGCTGACTACTAAGCCTTCACTGAGGTACGCCATAAGCTCGTTGAAGCTGCTACCGCCACTGCCACTTGTTGATGAAGATCCACTTCCACTCACAGCTTCTGTTTGAGTTGTCTTATTCTTCTTCTTTAACCCGAAAACATTCAAGAATGAATGCAGGTTTTCATCTTGTTGTTGCGGTTCCTGTACTCTAGAGTTTGTGCTTCTAAACCTAATCTCATATTTACTATAGATCTTGTTGCGTGGGAAAATGTGATGGACACCTGGATCAACGACACCACGACACGTGGCCATAACTGCTCTCCGCCAAACACACAACCCTCGGCGCCTACATTTTCTTCCCAATTAGCTGCAAAGCCCAAAGTTAAAGTCCGGATTAGGGCGACGACCCCTTGTGGCGCCAATGGATAGTGCCTCTTGAATTAAGGTATGGATATTCCTCGGCTGCAGAAAGGACCGCCAGAGAGGATGACTGGGGCTAAATGGCGCTGGCGACGAGGGGAACGTTCCTTTAAGGCATGACGGGTTGCGTGCATAAGTGGAAGACGTCTGTCAACATTAATTACAAATTCTCAAACCGCCCCACAGGGGACAGAAAAGCATTACGGAGAATCACAGAGCCGTAACAGAAGACTAATTAGCTGAGTGAGCAGTGCTGATTAGTGGGCTACATCTAGGCATACCAAGGTAGAACACTTGAGTGTTTCCACCGATCAAAGAAAACCACTAGGTGAAGGAAGCCCAGTATAAAAGGATGAAGACCCCCACCGAGGGAGAGAGAGGATTTTTGGCTACTTTTCATATGTAATCAGAGAATAGAGAGCTGATTTT